TGAATTGTAAATCATTGCTACAATGTAACTAAAATAAGGGAACAAATGATTAAATCTAGGGAATGAATTGTGGTCATAAGTAGGGCTGTGCGATATGGACAAAAAAAATCTATCGCGATTTCTTTGATCAATTTTGTGATTTCGATTTTAATCACGAGTTTGACACACACAGACATGCTTTACAGTCATTAATGCATTCAGTGTGAATTTGAAACATATTTCCAAAAGAAAACCAATTAGAGCTTTATCAAAAAGCTGTAACATGTCTCTAGAACAGACATAAGGCAAAATAATCACTAAGTAAAGGTGTAACAAAATGTCTCTAGAATAGACATATGGCAGAAAGAAAAAAAAATCCCGTGTCCAGGGGATTGCAGTGCTTCTGCAGTGCAGAAGCAGCACGGACTCATTTTGCTTTCGCACAGGATGCGTTTGCAGTCCGCTCCTGATCCGCGGCTGTTTACCACAAACACAACATTTATCCATTATTTTGATTTCAAATCCAAACGTTGTTTCTGAAAATGCTTTTTCAGCATTGTGAGATTTAGAAATCGTGCAAGCTCACATTGCGATTTTATGACTATTTCGATTAATCGCACAGCCCTAGTCATAAGTATATTTCTGTGCACGTCATGTGGGATTCTGTAAAAGAGGGACAAAGTTTTAACATTTATAAGGCTGAATATGAGTAATTGATGGATAACATTTTTTTGTATTATTTATTTAGATTTTTTAAGGGAAATTTTATAATTTTTTTTGTTTTATTTCATTTTTTTTCTTTACTAGTTCAATTTTAATAGGTATGAAATTGTAACCCTTAATAGGTTAAAAAGTATAAATATTGGGGGGGAAAATTTCATATAAAATATTTTTATAATTTATTTTTTGTAATTTTGTAATTAAAACATTTTTAATCACCTTTTTGTGTTTACTGTTTACTAGATCATTTTAAATGGTCCTGTGGTGTAAAAATGTATAAATATTCCACGTAGACTCCCAGTTAAAATGGTCATGATTTTGTAATTTATGAATCATAATTTTTTTTACAAATATATATCAAGCAATATAGCAATGTATATATAAACAAATATATTACAAATATATATCAAGCATTATAGCCTATATATACAGTGGGTACGGAAAGTATTCAGACCCCCTTAAATTTTTCACTCTTTGTTATATTGCAGCCATTTG